AAGGTCCTGAGTTCAATCGCCAGAACCGCAAAACAAACACACACAAAATACGGAGGATTCCTGCCTTGCAGGTCACCACCAGCTAGGGATTGCGATCAGTCATTAGCCGATTGTTCAAATAGCGCCACAGGCCTGCACTAGAGCTCCTACTAAGTAAAGGAGTGTATGCAAACAATATGGATTTTCTTAGGTAATCTCCTAAATATTTGTAACGTTCACGATCTCCACTCGTTGACCTTCCCCTGGGAACCTAGCGCGTTCCCGCAGGAACTAGGAAACCACGCGGAGAGCCAAGCCCGAGTTGTGCGCATGCGCTGTCGGAAGGGCTCGCCCCGCCTCTTCCGCCCAGCGTGGCCACCGATTGGTCCGCGTGGCCGTATAAGAGCTTGCGCGCGGGTGTTCGGCTCCCTTTCCTCAGCCGCCGCCAAGGTGCTCGGTTCTTCCGAGGAAGCTAAGGCCGCGTTGGGGTGAGGCCCTCACTTCTTCCGGCGACTAGCACCGCGCCCGGCAGCCCGCATCATGGCCTCCGTGTCCGAGCTCGCCTGCATCTACTCCGCGCTTATCCTGCACGACGACGAGGTGACCGTGACGGTGAGTGCGGGCTGGCTCCGGCGCGAGGCGGCCTGCTTCCGGCGGCGGGCGGGCGGGCGCTTCCGGCCTGGCCGGGGCTGCAGTCCCCGGCGGGACGCGTGGGGCCGGCGGGGCTCGTGCGCTCCGAGCTGTGGCTGTCTGACTGTCCCGCACCTACTCCTGTACTCAGGCCCAGTGGTGCCAGGCTGTGCCTTAGGACTACGGCGTCGCCCTGTCCCCACCCCCGCGCCAGGTCTCTCGACTTAAAATAGCGGCGTGGCTCAGTGTCAGCGTGCAGCAGCAGCTCAGGGCCCTGCGGCCTGGGAGGCGCCCAGCGCAGAGGCTGTGGTCGTAGCAACTCTCTGAACTGTAAAGAAAACTATATAGAATAAGGCGTGAAATGCAAGTAGTTGGGATAAACTTACACAGAACGTTTTGGGCAACTTGGTTTTCACTTGCTGTTATTTTTTTAGTTTTTTCTTTTCTTTTTTCTGGCGGAACCAGGGATTGAACTCAAGCCCTCGCCTATCCTACTGAGCCATCTCCCCGGCCTCAAAGACAGCTTTGATTGGGAAAGTACTCAAGGATTGGCATGTTGTTTGTTGCAGGAGGATAAGATCAATGCCCTCATTAAAGCGGCTGGTGTCAATGTCGAACCTTTTTGGCCTGGCTTGTTTGCAAAGGTAAGGTGGACATGGAGAGGTGGTTTGGGAAGCCAGCTGATCTGTTCAGTCTGGGTGTGGGGGGGGGCGGGTGTGTCTACCTACCGTATCTCCTGTGTGCTCCGTGGAATTCAGCTCTAGGTGTTAATGAGGTTTGAGTGTGTGTCTCTTGATCTCAGATTTTGGTTTCCGATCTTTTCTGTTACTTTTTTTTTTTTTTTTTTTTTGAGGCAGGGTTTCACTTTGTAGTTTAGAGTGGTCTTAAGCTCACCATGTAGGGCCGGGGAGATGGCCCAGTAGAATAAGCGCTTGCCTGGCAAGCACAAGGGCCTGAGTTCAATCCCCGGCGGGGTCGGGGAGCTCACCTTGTATCTCAGGCTGGCCTCAAACACGTGGTGGTCCTCCTGCCTCAGCCTCCCTAGTGCAGGGATTACAAGCAAGGCACCACCGCTACTTCTTTTATCAAACAAGTAAACAATTCCTAGATTATTCTTGCTTAGAAAAATGTTACCTAGGAAGTAGCACCACTGATAGTATTACAAATAAATTTTCCAGTATGGTAGTGTGGTTCCATAGGAGTTGAGTTTGATGGCCCTTCAGTGGCTGTTCACTGTTTATTCAGATGTAAAAGATGAATGTCAATAAAGGAAGGGTTCCCTGTTGGCTGGGGAGTCTGTCCTGGCTGCCACCTTCCCTGGTACAGGTCCCTTGGTCTCCAGTAAATGAAGCTAATGACAACATCTAACCCAGCCATGTCTGTCTACAACTTAGAAAGGTGGACTGTATATATTACACCTGTGTTACTCCTTTGAGAATATCCTCTGTTGCTTAGCAGCCTAATATGTTTTCTACTGTGTATTTTGAGACATGGTTTCATCATGTATTGCAGACTGGTCTTGAACTCAAGGCAGTTCTCTTTGGCTCATCCCCATCTGAGTGCTGGGATTACACGTGTGTGCCATCATGCCCTAACAATCTGAAAATTTTAAGGCCAGCTGGGGTGGCTTGTGAGTGCAATATTCCAGGGAGGCTGAGAAAGGAAAATCACAAGTTCAAGTCTGGCCTGGGAAACTTAGGCCATGTTTCAAACCCCACCCCCAAGCCAGGGATTGAACTCAGGCTTGTGCTTGCCAGGGAAGCACTTGTTCCACTGAGCCATCTCCCTAGCCAATTTTTTTTTTTAATTTTTACTTATTTATTTTTTGATGGAACCAGGGGTTGAACTCAGGCCCAAGCGCTCTGGCAAGTGCTTATTCTACTGAGCCATCTCCCCGGCCCCTTCCAAAATTTTTAAAAAGCTGAGAATGCAGCTCAGAGCCAAAGGCCCTGGGTTCAACCTGTGATGCCACAAAAAACTGTAAATTTAGCAAGGGCTGGGAATGCAGGAGAAAGGGATTTATTCAGTTGAACCTTGCTCTTTGCAAACAGCTGTGTGAGTGCTGTATAAAATTCAAGCTGAATGGAGTTGTGGTAGCTAGCAGGATGCACTCCTCTGCCTAAGTGTTCCTGTCAGCAGAGGAAAGCGGAGGGTGGGAAGTTAAACTGAAAAGTTGGTGTCATCACTGACCAAATGTTCATGGTAATTTTAGCGTAGTTAGAAGGGGGAAATGTAAGTTGGTCCCCACTGAGTGGAAAGGGGTGTTTTTGGCGAAACAACTGCTGTGTGACAGGGCCGAAGTGAGCCTTTACCTGTGCACGCGTGCATTGCAGGCCCTGGCCAATGTCAACATCGGGAGCCTCATCTGCAATGTAGGGGCTGGAGGTCCTCCCCCTGCTGCGGGCGCTGCGCCTGCAGGTGGTCCTGCGCCCTCCACCGCCGCTGCGCCAGCTGAGGAGAAGAAGGTGGAAGCAAAGAAAGAAGAATCGGAGGAATCTGAGGACGACATGGGCTTTGGGCTTTTCGACTAAGCCTCATTTTGTAACACGTTCAATAAAAACGGAACAGCTGCTGTTGGTCTTGAGCTAGAATCTGCTGTGCAGAGGTGGTCTGCTTGCTGACTGTGGTCCCCCATCCCCAGTCACCCATTGCCTGGGCCTTATGAAAGCACCTACCTACTATTGTGGAGTGAGGACTTGAGTAGAGGTGGGGGGAGCCCTTGTCCAGGTTTCCTTTGTCCTATGATCACAGGGCCAGTGCCTGCCAGCACTGAGGGGGTGGGCTGGAGGCACAAGAGCTTTAATATTTTTTTTTTAGTTTATTTTTTTTGTCGGAACTGGGGATTGAACTCAGGCCCTTGCGCTTGCCAGGGAAGCGCTGACTCTACTGAGCCATCCCCCCGGCCCTCACAAGAGCTTTAGAAGGCTGCCTGGCTGATTGCCTTGTAGTTAGCTTTCGCTCCCTGTGCTGAGGCATCCGAGGGTGGAGGGCTCCTGAGCGGCAGTTAGAGGTGAGTTAACTGCCTCCTTTCCCAAGTAAACAGCATTAAGGGGAAATTTAGTTTTTGAAATTTGCAAAGTGAGCAAGAGGTCTCACCTCCATTCTTTTTGACATCACCAAAGTGACCCCATCCCTGGTTGCCCTAACTCCAAGAGAGCCACTTAGGTTTTAGAGGTTTTAGCCAAGACTTGTGCAGGTGGGCCAGGGAAATGGCTCAGTAGAATAAGCGCTTGCTTGGCAAGTGCTAGGGCCTGAGTTCAAACCCTGGTTCTGCCAAAAAAAAAAGGCTGCAGGTGGAGGCGATGCCTGGAGTATTTGAAGTAAAGCAGGTCCTTCAAGCTGTAAGGCCAGGGTTGATTAAAGCCTTTACCTGACGCATAGCCTTCGTACAGCTGGAAACCCAAAGGAATCAGCTGTGTTATTAGACTGATGCCTGTGGATGGAAATGCAGCCTTTTATGAAATCCAGCCCTACTTTCCGTTCCTGTGGTGTGAGAAGCCTACATAGTGGGCACATGGTACATAGATGTCATTGGCCTTCATGCAGATAGTGAGGCAGGGCTGGCTTTCGGGGTGCTTCGGTCAGCGTTCCTTGAGTTCTCTCACCCTTTCCCATCAGGTCTGCTTTCTACTGTAATTTCTATATTTTGGCTTTTTTTTTGGTGAGGTCCTGCTGTTCAGTCTGGCCATGGATTTGTGTTGCTGACCTGCAGCTGGGATCACAGGTGTGTGTCACCAGGCCCGGCAGTAATCCTTGCAAAAGGGTCACGAGGTGGCCACGTTTGCTTTGACTAGCAGCAGTGGGTTGCACACAGTAGCCAGGAGTCCTGTGGGGTGGGAGGTTGAGGAGCAGCTGGGTCCTTTCTCCTGTGCTCTGGGGTCCCCTCCTGGCTGTGGTGGCATCTGCGTTCCTAGGCATCTGCTCTTCCACAGCAAAAGGTGAGAAGTTAGTCCACTCTGGGTTCTACGATTTGAAACCACAAACTTTTAGTTTTCTCTGTGATATAGTCTATAGATAATTTTCATAGTTCTTTCTTTTTGAGAAACAAGTTTTGCTGTGTAGCGCAGACTGGCCTTGAATTTGCAGTGTGCCTGTCCGCCTCCTGAATGCTGGGATTGTGTGCCTGTGCCACCATGCCTGGCTAGGTCCTGGATAGATTTTTAGGTTTTTTTATGGGTACCTTTTAGGCAAACTGATAACTTTTTTTTTTGTATTTTTTAGGGAAGAGTCTACAGGGTGTTAAGGTCTCACTACATAGTGATTCACCTATTTATAGCCTCCCAAGAACAGGGATTACAGGCGCACGCCACCATGCCCAGTCTCAATGTGCTCTGGGGGTGGGGTTGGGACGGTAGGCCCCAGGAATCGAACCCCCGGCCCCTGTGCCTGCTTCTGTCTAATCTTGGGGAATTTGTCAGTTTGTCCCTCTACAGGATATAGCTTGCTTTTTTTTTTTTTTTTTTTTAATGTATTTGGTACAGGGTCTCACTATACATACAGCTTGGATCCTTCTGTCTTCAGCCTCCCCCAGTGCTGGGATTACGGGTGTGTGCCACCAGGCCTGAACTTGGTAACCTGTGTACATGCCGTATCTAGGATTGAATCCTGGTCCCTGCACTTGGCCTACGTAAGCACTTAGTCCACTGGGTTTTCTCGGCCGGCCAACTTCATTTCTCTTTCTTTCTTTCTTTTTTTCTTTTTTTTTTTGCAGAACTGGGGATTGAACTCAGACCCTTGTGCTTGCCAGGGAAGCACTTACTGCACTGAGCCATCTCCCCAGCTCCCCATTTTCTTTTTAAAGATGTTGATTTAGTTCAGTGTTGGAGGCCATAAGCCCAAGCCTGGGTGGCTCCATCTGTGGTGAAGTCTTGGCTGCATCACAGCTTGGTGGCTGTCCTGGGGGTGCGTATGCAAGAGAGGGTCCGGGAGGTACCAGGCTACAGCGAGCAGTGTTTTTCTGGGAGACCAACACAGACCCATGTGACCTTTGTGAGTCCTCTGAGCTGATTAGCTCCCCCAGGCCCTGCCTTGACAGGGCACCATAGTAAATTTTTTTTTTTTTTTTTTGGGATACTGGAGATTGAGAACCTTACACTTGCCAAGCAAGAGCTTATGCTGCTGAGCTATATCCCTAAATTGCTTCACAGTTAATGTTTTGAAAGGTTCACTATGAGGGCTGTGTCTATTGGTCAGTTTTTAATTTTATGAGTTACTAATGTGTACTTAACAGAAAAGTAAAATAGCAATACTAAGTTTTTAATAGGTATTGAGTGTTTAGAGTAGACCACATTTTCTACATCAACTGTTCACCTGCTTACACGATCTAAAAACTGCTTGACGTGTATACCCGTGATCCCAGGGAGGCTGAGGCAGGAGGACTGCCCTGGTTTCTTCTAGGCTTTGTGTCTCAAAAAACAAAAAAAAAAAAATCCCCAGCAGAAATGAATTCCTCTGTGAACTGCACAATGAAGATACAAATAAAACTTCCACAGAGAATCTGCTTCAGCTGTTCTGCACCTCAGGCGGTTTTCACACGCCGCAGCTTCATGTCCCATCCACAAGGCTTGCGCTGACAGCTCGCGTGCTGTCCTACTTGGCAGACCATACTTGTCACTCTAGTCGTCCGCTTTGTCAGGCGCTTGCTGTTGTATGTGTGCACTTAGCAGAAGATAAAACATCAGCTATGTGACGGGTGTCTTAGAACAAGGCTCAGCATTTCAACATCAACTGTTGACTTGTTTGTAAAATCTAAAAACAGAAACAAATTGCCATGTGATCTACAATGAAAATACAAATAAGACTGCTACACAAATAGAACCCTCACCACACCTAAGGCAGTTTTCACAAGAGAGCAGCACGTTCTGTGCACAAGTATCGCTTACGGTGATTACGTGGTCTCTGGCCTTCTCTGATAGAGCAGGCTTGACATCTTGCTGGTCTTCCTGTATTTTGAGGAGGTTCTTGTGATGTTTCATGTGTGTGCTCCAGACTCCAGCGAAGTTCTCTGGGTGGATGCATACTGTTCTTTCCCTGTTGTATGTAATTCATCATATGTCAGTTCCAGTCCCAATGCTCTTAAGAGAATTGCTCCATGGTATTTTGTGTTTATTTTCTTTGTAAACTATGAAACTACGCCTGACACTTTTTTGATTTTTGGCAGAACCAGGGATTGAACTGAAGCCCTTGTGCTTGCCAGGCAAGCACTTTTTCTACTGAGCCATCTCTCAGCCCCCATGCCCAACACATTTAGGGTTGAGTAAAACAGCCATTAGACGATTTGTGTTTCGAGTGACAGTATAGTTGCTGCATAGCTCACCAACATTTACCTCGCCTTTTGTTGTAAAACATGCCCATTTGTGGCTTCATTTGTGTTGAAGATTCACTATTAATATTTTTTTGTTTTTGAAACAGAGTCTCACTGTGTAGTCCATGCTGGCCTTGAACTTACTATGTAACACAAGCTGACTTGGAACTCCTAGGATCCTTCTGCCTCAGCCTCCTGTGTGCTGGGATTATAGATGTGTACCACTATGCCTGGCTTCAGTATCAGTTTTATGGGGTAACATTGACAGTGTCAGTACTACTTTGTTTTTCTTTGCCATATAGAAGGCTGATGTTACGTCTTTCTGAAATCTATTTTTTGGGCTGGGGAGATGGCTCAGTAGAATAAAGTGCTTGCCTGGCAAGCGCAAGGGCCTAGGTTCAATCCCCAGTCCCACAAAAAAA